TATCCCTGGGGCCAGGAAGGGGATGGAAAGGAGGAATTAAAGATGGGAGATGTGACTGGAGTTGCCCTGGGCTGACATGATGTCTCACTACAATAATCTCCCTACAGGGTGCTTGAATGACTGCCATGGGTATGGGCAGAATGAAGGCTGAAAAATAAAGCAGGTCCTGTTAGCCTCCATTCTCTGGAGGTTCAAGTTGCCTGTCCTCATTCCCAGTCTCCTGATCAGAACCCTCCCTGACCTTTGAATTGTGACTAAGTAAAGGGCAAAGTTTGAATTGCTCCTAAGTAATGCCAGGAATTTCAATTACTCAATTTCTCACTTATAGCACCACCAGCACAGCTGAGTCTCATAAACCCTAGTGTTGTGCCAGAGTCCAAGGATGTTTGCTGAGACCCAAAGACCTGTTTTGTCTTGTTTTTTCCCCCTCATAAGTATGACATTCTGTGCTTTGAGGAAAAGGAAACTTTGTCACTGATACTATCTCGTGTGAGGTTTTTCCCTACCCAGTAAGCACACAGTTATTTTTTCCTCAAACCAGGAGCTTATCACTCAACACCATGGCAAGTGGGACCAGAATACAAGGAGTTCTAAGTTTCAGTCCTAGCAGTGACAATGACCCTACCGGTAGCTCCTTTCACTTCTCCCTGCTTCCCTTTCTGCTTCTGTAAAGCAGGGATGGCAATCCTTCACCATCTAACAATTTGCTCAGACAAGCAAATTAATCTCTGGACAGTGCTTGGACAGCATCAGTCAAAACACTTTAGGTCAATTCAAAGAGTGACCATTAGATCATCTGGTCTGACCTCCTGCACTGATGCTGCAGGTTTGCTACATTTGAATGGCAACAAAATCCCCCAGATGTAAAAGTTGTCTAGATTGATTCTATCCATCATTTGATCTTGATACAATTGTTCTGTCTCTCTGTACCCTGGAGACCTGGACAGAACTGGGATCTACAGTTCACACAGTTGTTTTACAGGGGCTTTGTGAATCCTGTTTGTGAGTAGCAGTATCAACAAGTGCTCAGCATAATTTTCCTTAAAAATCAAGAGTTTGTTTTATCTCTGATTTCAGAACTTAGTGGAGCTCATATGAGGGAGGCCCCAAGCTCTTCTTCAAGAACAAGGAGGAAAAACTTACTTGTCCTTTGGTGTGAAAATGGAGATCTTCCTGGAAATACAGGACTCTAAGAGTTGGAGCTTTAACAAAGACACCAAATAAGACTCACCACAAGGTCACAAGCACTGGCAACACTGGAGCTCTGCTGTGCAGCCCCTAGGTGTAAGTGAAGATCCAAGCCATAGTATAAAAATATTTTTAATTTGGTTACTTCTGCAAACTGGCCTTCTGTTATCAATTGCAGTGGCTGGATAGGTCTAGGCTGTGCCAGAAGGGAAATGCACAGGGAACAGGTCCAGATTTCAGTAACAACATGGAAAGTTTTAATGAGGTGTAACACAATAGGTACAACCTGTATGTTCCCAGAGGATGGGAACAATGTTATTTAAACACCAGACTTTGTTAATATCTAGGAGCACTAATCACACAAAATGCTCAGTGGTGACAGCTTTTTGGGAAAGCATTTGTGAGCACAGCAGCTCTACTGATGAGCAGATTTGAGACTTGCATAGTACAAGATCAGGGAAAAACCTTTCCCTTCATGTTGGGTATGGCTGTGTGACCAAAAGACTAATACCCTTCTGGGATCAGGCCTGGTACAGTACGCATGAATGTGAAACAAACCCTTGTCCATACATGGGTGCCTGTGGGCAGGGGTGGTCTGGTGCAGCAGGAAGGAAGGTGCTCTGTGAGCTCTGATCCAGCAGAGAGAGGATCACTTGCTGCCAGGAGGCTGTCCCATAAAGATGTAGGACCACTGGAGTAGGTCAGCTGGAGAAGTTTGAGCCTAGTTAAAGACATGTGCAAGGCGCTGGCACATTAACAGTCCTGTGATGGAGCTGTAACCTTCAAACCCATGTGCTCATGAGCATGTCAGAGCTGGAACTCTGCAGAGTTCTTGCGGATGCGTGTGTTGCATGGATGCCTTAGTCTCAGGGACCTAAAGTCCATGACCTGGGAGTTCCCTTCCAGTCCTATAACAGATGCCTGTCCCTATTACAACTGGCTGTGGACTCAGCCTGGTGGTTCATCCCAATGCCAGAGCAATCCAGTTCCTGAAGTACAATGGTTTGAGCCCTGAGTTACAGTGTTAACTACATGTGTAGCTGCTTTACTGAGAGCCCTGGGAAATCTTCAGTGCAGTGAGGAAATGAGATACTGTGATCATTGTGCCCACAGAAGACAGCAAAGCAAGTAAAACCCTTTTGGACCAGAGGAAAGGCTTCCATCCTCTGAAGCAGGGCTCTCCAACTTCTAAGAAGCGGGGAGGCTGTACTCCCTGCAGGCCGCACACCACATAGACCCCTTCCCCCTTCCCCCTCCTTAAGCTCATTGCTGCCCCATGCAGCTGCATGGGAGCCCCACAGCATGCCCACCTTGGGGCACCGTCTACACTACTGCACCACATGGCCACAGCCTCATCCTCAGCTCCCTGGTCTTTGCTGAACTGCTCTGCCCCTGGGGTGGGGGAAGGAAGTGTAAGCTGGAGGGAGAGAGGCTGCCAGTTAGACAAACCTGCTCTGAAGCTTTCCTCTATCTGGGCCTGACTGTCTTTGTGAGCTGTGAGAACAACTTCCAGGCCCTGATAAGACTGTCAGCCTGCCTGCTCGGCCAATATTAACTATTTCAAAAGCAACTCTCTTCTGCTGGGCACCTGGGTTGATGCATGTCTCCCAAACCAGCCAGGGGGTTGTCCTGGTGCTGTGATGATCTAAAATCACTGGGGATCTTCCTCAGCCCACCACTATACTCAGCCTAGAATTGGGAAGGCCCTGCTGAGGGGGTCAATGCACAGCTACAACAGTGGCACTGGCACCTTCCCAGTCTCTTTTACTGTGGCTGAGTCCTGATTTTTTTATTAAAGACTTTGTGGCTGCTGTCTTGTGGCACAGTGCTGTTTTGCAGGCCCCCCCCCCCTTCCCCCTGCTTGAGAAACTCATTGTAGACTCTTCTTACAAACTCCCCATCACTAAGAGGACTAGCGAATTTCAGTGGTGCCTGCTGCTCGGGCCTTGCCCACTGGTGCCTCTGTCTGGTACATGGCCTTGGTAGGGATGACAGCCTGCCCCTTTTGCAAGGAGATGTAGAAGACCCTCTACTGTGTCTTCCTGGACTGCCCCCAGCTGTGGCCATGTTTTGCTGCCTTCAGTGCCCTTTTTGGCACTCTTGTCTTGGGCTTTGGTGAGATGGCATACATCTATTCAATCCCGTGCCAGACAGTGGGAGTAAGCTGCCTGCCCAGCTTCCTCTTGGGCCAGTCTAAGATGGTGATGCAGAAGAGCTACCAAAACAGGCTGACCAGGTCTCCTTCTGATGATGTCCTCCATTTATTTCAGCTCCTCAGTCAGATGTGTCTGGTTTCTGAGTTCGGGAACTTTGCCCTAAAGCCAAGAGGGCCACGGCCCATAGCCCAGGAGGCGCAAAACTAGGGTCAGACACGCAGAATCCGAGAGGGCTGGAGCTCACGAGCCAAGCCCGGGTGCAGTGGGCCTAGGCTGAGAGTTCCCAGCTAGAAAGAGGAGGCAGAAGCCTGGGAAGGCTAATACCCCAACAAGTGCTTAGAGGCCTGAGTAGGGCAGATTGTGTATTGGGGCAAGGTGACTCCTGAGAATGATAGCTGATAATATCTGCAGGCATGGGTGTGACTATGGGGGTGGCTGGACCTCACAATTATTGCCCCTAGGGCCCCTGAGGCCATAAAAGGTAAGGCCCAGCCCAGAGCACTCAGGACAGAGAAGCCTGGAGGGCAGCACACCAGGCAAAGACACCTAGGAAGAGGCAACCCAGTCTCTGTCAACAGCCTCCCTAATTAAGCAAAAACATTAACGATCAAGTCATTGCCCTAAATCAGGGGTGTTCAACCCCTGGTCTGCAGGCCAGATCTGGCTCATGGCACTGTGTCAGCTGGCATGCGGGGTTCCCCACAAGTCTGTAAATTTGGCAGTGGAGGTACAGTACCAGCACTCCCTTGATACCAAGTCTCTGGACCCATGGGCATTCCTGGGCCCTGCATGCTGGATCTGGCAACTGATCCAAGTGCAGGGCCAGGTTGGGGTGGGGGGAGGGGAAACCTGCTTTTCTGGAACCAACTTCCAAGAGAGGTGGTGCAGGCTCCTACCCTGGGGGTTTTTAAGAGGAGGTTAGATGAACACCTTGCTGGGGTCGTTTGACCCCAGTACTCTTTCCTGCCATGGCAGGGGGTCAGACTAGATGATCTGCTAAGGTCCCTTCCGACCCTAGAAACTATGAAACTAACTATGAAACTATGAAAGCCAGATAAGTGGGATGAAGGTACAGAACAGAGGGCAAAAAGGCCCAATAGACTTTCGACTTTTTTGACCTTTATTATAAAACCCCCCAACAAGAACCAGTTAAAAGCAACCAGTTAGAAGCACAGTCTTCTTCTTCTGTCCTTATGAATCACACATTCAGAATGACTGCAGCATCTCTTGGTATGGCTCTTTTTCTCTGCTCTTGTTTTCTTTTGCTATGTCCCCTATCACATATACATGCTCTTTCCCCCTGATCTCTCTTGTTGTTCTGCTTTCAAGGTCTGGCTCAGAAGATTTCCAAGGTGTTTTCTGCAGTTGGACCAATCATTCTCCAGATCACTTGACCAATTCACTCTCACTTCTCCAATGACTCCCCACTTATCCTACTTCAGTGTAAAAGGCCAGCTAGTGAACATACAATGAGCTCTAGCTAAAGTGGACTACAAACACCATCCTACCAATTACAGGAAAGAATAGCATCCTTCTCAGACCCAGGGGAATATATTCCAGTCTCAACTTCCCCTGTGGAAAAATGTTTATTTTCTACCTAAGAGGACTTGTAAAGAGCCTAAAGAAGGGTGTATGTGCCTGAAAAGCTTGCAAAGATAAAAGGTATCACCTCTGAACCAACAAGAGTTTTAGAGTTTTGTATTTGTCTTTGTCTCAGAACAACACAGCTACAAAATAGATCCCTGAGGTATGTTTGATGAATGTTGTGCATGTCTTTCTTCATGTGAAACCCCATCCCTGCAAAGAAAGAAAGCAGGACAGAAGATGAAGTCCATCTGACTTATTATTCCTGTGATTAAGTATCCTTTTAGCTCTACAGTCTTCTACCACATACTTCTCTATCCTTTGTGGACAGTATTGAAATATCTAAGGCCTTTGCACCAGAAAGAGCTTTGTAAGCTGAGTCTGTTGTAGCTCTTAAACCATCTGACTGGTGCTTTAATATATCAGGCAAGTGAGGATAAAGCTGCAGGGAAGTTGTCACTGTTCAGAAGCTGCAGGAGAGTCCCACAGCAACACCTCATCTCCTCCAATGCCCATGGTCGCTCTATGTCTGCCTCAAGCCAGAGGAACTTGCCCTGCTGTTTATATATTTATTAATGCAGGGTAGGCAATCTTATCCAGCTGCAGACTGGAACAGATGTGGGTAGGTGGGTGCTAGGACCTGGCCATCACTTGTCCCCTCAGCAGCCCAGAGAGAGCACCCAAAGCAGAAACCCCCTTTCCTCACAGCTTCATGTCTGTAGGCCTTACCAAATGGCTCTGTGGGCTGTATCCAGGGTGTAGGCCATAGGTTTCCACCCTCCGTACTAACAGATTTTGTGAGAAAAGAAGTTCTCCCACACCTGTCACTTGCTTATATAATACCTGTCAGGCACTTCTTGGTTCTGTTCATGGTCCTCCATATACTCGTCATGCCCAGTTGTTAAACTGAGGAAGCCCAGTTTTTGCCTCAGCCTGCAATCAACAGAGTATCATCACTGGTGATATTAGAGAGATGTAGTTTAGCAATTCGCATCCGAACCTATTTGCTTTTCAGGAAGTGAGAAGGTCAGTTTCAAATACCCAAATCATGTAGTTTCACTTCCAAAATGGGAAAGTTGTCTTTCTTGCAGGGCGCTAACAGATGTGCAGCTCCTCACTGCAACTAATGGCACTTTGCAGAAAGCACTGTGAGGTACAGCAACCCCTCCTCTGACCTAACAGATGTTCACTGTTGGGTTGGGGGCTAGGGGCAAGTTCCACTTTTGATCTGATCCAGGAGGAGCTGTGTGTCTGCAGCCTCTCTACCTTAGGTCTAGCCCCCTCCCAGCTCTCGTGCTGTTTGCAGGATGGGAGTGGGGTGAATGGAGGGGGAGGGAGCTTGGGCTGGGTTTGCCCAACCTGTGCTGGAGCAGGGGTGGGTGGATTGGAGTAATGCCATGCCATCACCAGTGCAAGGAGTAATTGACTGGGGGACGGAGGAGAAGAGTTGGGGGGGGGGAGGCTGCTGCCCTCTCCTCCAGCTGCCAGCTGCTCCTGTGTCAGGCTGTGGCATCTGCCCTGGAGGGGAGGTGGTATGGAGGGCAGTGCAGGTGACCTCAGGGGACCAGCAGCAGCTGGACCATGGCGGTGAGGTAGGGCACCTCCCACCCCCATGGGTAGCAGGTGGAAGAGGTGAGGGCAGTGTGTGCCCCCCCCTCCACCCCTGACCTGGTACTTCTTGCACTGCTGATGGCATGGCATTATTCCATGGTGGTGTGGCTGGTGTGGGAGTCCCAGTGGCAGTGGTGGCAGCAGCAGCAGCAATGAGTCTTGCTGCCCCACTCATCCCTCCTGTGCCAGGTCCTGCCCGTTGGGCTATGGAGGCGGTTCCTGCCCAATGCTGGTCTGGCAAAGGTACAGCCCCATGCCCTGCTGTGGGTGCACAAATCTGGAGGAGTACATGCCCCCTCCATTCCCCCAATTCAAAGCCTATCTTGTCGCCTATGATTGGACACCCCACCTGCTCTACACACCCACCCCCTTCTCCACACACTGGGGGACTGGAGCCTGGGGGCTTGGGGCAGCAGGTCAGAAGTGAAGGGCAGTAGAAGAGCTGGGGAGGGGGGTTGGGACGCTGGGGGTCAGGAGTGAGGGGCAATGGCATATCACGGTTGCTCAGTGCCACAAAGCAGTAGGGTAGACAGCTGCAGCTGAACTCACATCGATAAGCAAAGGGAGCAAGAGGAACTCTAATTTTCTATGATAAAAAAACCAAAATCAAATGCCAAATTATTATAGGTATTTAGAATTTATTTTATTATAATAATTGATGCACTGGTAGGTTTCCAAATTGCTTTAAAACTGTAAATATATCAATAAAACATTGTGTTCAACTTATACATATATATATAGTGGTGTTTTATTTTAATTGTGGAAAAAGGTGGATCAGGGCGGTTGGGGGGGTGTTAATCAGAGAATTTTGGATTTTTAAACAGAAAACCAGGATCCCTGCTTATAAGTAACTAATATTTACACAACACTAATGATCCACACAAGATATGCTTGTAAGAATACAATCGTATTGATGGTACCATAGTAATTCAGAAGGTAAAATGAAACAGCCACAAAATAGAGCAACCCAAAATCTCTAAATATTCTTTCTCTTTCTCTCTTTCTCTAGAAGAAAGAGACCCACAAAGCCACATACCATTCTGTGAATTCGTGTATCCAATTTATTCCTATAAAAACAGAGAAAGAAGTCACAACTGAGAATTTGGATTCTTCTTACTTTGCATGTTATACAGGAAGAGTCATTCTGCACTCCTGAATGTCTGGCTTACCTGCTTGCATTGTAGAAACGCCTCTGCTCTGCTGGTCTCTGTACAGCCTCTGCACTCTGATTGTCAAGGCAAATAGTTATGTTGGGGCTGAAAGTCAAGCTCCACCCTGTTGGTGTCCAATTTCCTCCTATAACTTTCCTTGCAGTGCTGCACTGAGACCTGCTGTTTGATTCCTTTAAAGCTGAGTGAGAGGGTTTTACTATGTGGGAGCAAACCCCTTTTAATTTTTGTCATCTTGAACTAAACTGCCATGGCAGAAGTGGTGTCATGTTATTTCTCATATCCTGTCTTTATTGGAGTTCTCCACAGGTGTTTGCTCTAGCTGGTACATAGCAGTGGGGCACCTCTCCCAACTATACCATTGGTCCAATAAAAGATATTACCCACAAAAATCCTTCTCACTTAACTGGTGTTCATTTTAAGGTGTTACAAACAGACTGTTGGAAGGTATGAGAAAATCTGCTATGTGTAATATGTTCTATAAATGTGCCAGCACAAAGGGGCAGGTATGGTCACCTGATGAACTGTGCGAGGGAAACACAAAGAATACTCACTTCCCCGCCTTATATTTCCCACTCTAACAGGAAGCTAGGAGGCTTCTGTTATTTTTAAGAGGAAACTATTGCTGACTAAGCTGGATAAGGGAGGACTGGCAGCTTGAAAGCAAGCTAGCTGCTAATGAACTTGTTTCATGCAAAGAATACATAATGCTAGATCCAGCTAGAGGTCCTGGGAAGGTAACATGCAGGGAGGGGAGACAAAGCAGCAAACTCTACTAAGGCAGACAGGCAGACAGGAGCAAAGGGCCGCAGGCTGCTGAGCTAAGTGCTCCTAGGGTGGAGCAGGATGGTCATCAGGGACAGGAGGGGAACACCTGTGAGCGGCTATAGAGTTATGTGACTGGATGGGTAGGGTTTAGGAGGGACATAAAGCCAGGGCCTGAGAGAAGGCAGTCAGTCTGGCCCTTCAAGCAAAAGGGGTAAGAACTCCTGAGCAGAAAGACTGAAGGGGACTGCTTGATTTACTTGAGACGCTCTGAGCTCCACAGCCAAGAAGTCTACAGCTTGCTGGGAAGTGGTACCCAGTATAGGGATGGAGCTTGGAGGTCCCTCTGCGGAGCTTCTGTTATGATGAAACCCAGTGGGGGGAGTTCTGTTCCTGCCTTTCTGATTGTGAGGACTTTCTGATTGTGTTGTGGTTTAAACCAGTGGTTTGGGACTATCAGTGGATGGCAGAGGTCCCAATAGTGCCTGAGGGCACGTAGGTATCCTGAGCCTGCCAGGGGCTAGAAGCCCAGAACACAAAGTAGGCTTTGGGCACAAAAGTAGGCTCACTGCCCAGAACAGGGCAGAGACAGGGCCAGGGACCCAGGCAGGCAGAGCCAGAGTGGACTCTGACTACAGAAGGGCAGAGACCAGGGCCAGAAGGCCCAAAGACACTTATGACTAAGGGCTGAGGCTGAGAGAGGCAAATCCAAGTCAGTGGGCCAGGACTGGAGGCTACATCTCACCTGCATGGGCCTGTAACAGGGAACCCTAGCCCTGTTACCAGAAAGCAGGCCGGTTCCTTTAAGACCAGAACTTTCTGGGCACGGCGGGATTAAAAGCTGAGCCTTGCTGGCTAGTCAGATGACTGGAAGAGGGCAGGCCAGAACTATAAAAACCCTGGGCTTGGCGGCAGTTCTCAGCCAGCAGTCAGGGGGGAAGGAGTTTGTGCATAAGAGCTCCACGGAGATGCTTGGCTGCCTGTCCAGCTACTGTAGGGGGAACTCCTGATGACTCTCAGAGAAGCTGTGGCAGCCCCACAAGGAGGAGCATAACAGACAGTGGGAAACAGGAGCACAGAGCCATAAAAAAAAGTGTAAGCTGGCATACTGCCTTCTTTAAATTTTTTTTATGGTTATAGCCCATGGACTTACTTTTGTATTTTGACTGATAGACCAGTGGTTTGTGGTCAAGGCTGTAGGGGAGGAGCAGACCTTGTTAGCATCTTGGGTGCAGTCATAAAAGGCCAAAGAGCCTAGTACACTAGTGGGTGCAGCTGTACAGGGCTAGTAGCGCAGAGCTGGCTGCAAGACTTTGAAGCTGGGTCCCAGTGGGGGAATCTTGGCTAGTAGCCTGAGCCATAAGAAAGGGCCAAGCCTAAGGAGGCAGAAGACCCAACAGCTTGGCATCCAGGGGGTGCAGGGTGAAAGGGGACCAAAATGCCTGGCTCCATACTGAAAGCAAAAGGAGGGCCCTGGGCCCAGAGAAGATTAAGGAGCTAGAGCCCCAGAGTCAAACCCTAACTGGTGGGTTTAGATTGGTAGGCCGAGCTAG